CAGCAGATTTTCTCAGAATGGAACTGAACCCTCCAATTTATTAAAGCCAAGGAAGCCACCATCTCAGGCTATGTTTGATTTGCACATTCCATGGTGCTGCACATTTGATAATTTGTGACACCAGCTATTTAATGGCTTGACAGTTCAATTGAGAACACAAGCAACAGTGACAGTTATCATTCATGGCATGACTTGAATGTAAACGTTTTGGGAAGCCATTAAATTGATGGGTTTAATACACAGTGGCTAAAAATGGTTAGCACTTCCGCCTGGCAGTACTAGGGTCGTCGGTTTGAATCCCCACCACGGCACCTCCTGCCTGGAGTTTGCATGTTCTCCCTTTGCCTGTGTGGGTTTTCTCCGGGTACTCCGGTTTCCTCCCACACTCCAAAGACATGCTGGTAGGTGAATTGGTTCCTGTCTAAATTGGCCCTAGTATGTGTATGTATGAATGTGAGTTAGGGACCTTAGATTGTACGCCCCTTGAGGGTTAGGGACTGATGTGAATGTACAATATATATATATATATATATATATATATATATATATATATATATATATATATATATATGTAAAGCGCTGCATAAAAGTACCTGAAATAAATAAATAATAAATAAATAAATAAATACAACACTGGGATTAATCATGTGACTCAGGGAAGCAGATGTAACTGCAGAAAGTGAGTGCAAACCATATGTGAGCTCTAGTATAAAAATGGCTGCAGATAGGACTTAGCTAGAGCCCTTGCAATGTGTCTATCAGAGCTGATTATTTTCCCTCAGCAAAAGCGGAGTCATCTTTTAAGAAGTTGGTGATGGCAGCTCCCGCATTGACTCCATCTAGATTTTTCTCCATGCTTTGGTTAGAGTTGGGGAGAGTTAGAGCCTGTCAATTGTTGTCTGTGTTCCTATGGGTGAGATTTGAGGTATCATAACGATGCTATAACACAGTAGGCAAGTAATTCATTTACAGACATGCCATGTAAATAAGGCATTTCTTCAGAAGTAGCTCTTACATAAACCACATAGTTCAATCATTGGATAAGCAATTTCTCCTGCGGAGTTCTAACTTATGACCGCTAGAGGGCAGTATTCAGCATGAGCAAAGCTTCCCATCTACTAGAACTAGGAAGGCCCTTGTACTGTCATTCGGAGGGAATCGTCCCTATGCCCAGGGGCGGACTGACCATTTGGAAACCAAGGTCAGTATGGGGCCCCATGAGATGCCCCTGGTACCTTTTTCATAGGCTTTTTTGAGTTTGGGCAAGGACACAGGGGCCCCGTGATCCCCTATTGCCCAGGGGCCCCATGAGTTGTCAGTCCGCCCCTGTCTACAAATGTAAAATACCTATAGAAATGCACACAGCGTGCTGTACTATTTAAAAGGTCAGTCCACCCAAAATTATTATTTCAGCTCTGGGTGAAAACTGATGGAATGGACCACCCAGCTTATCAAATCTCTAGAACACTCCTGTGCAGAGTTCTCATCCTTTTCCGGCTACAATTTTTAATCTACCAGCAGGAATAGTCTCAGGTCATCACCTGAAATCTATGTTTTGTCAAATAAATAGTGATAGCAATGACAGGTGGGCAGGGCTGGGAAATGCCCTGCAGAAGTCCTGCAACCCTGAGAAATGCAGAAACCAGGTGGGTGATTCACATCACATATATCCATCTAAAATGGAAATACATGCATTAAACAGGCCTGCCTTTTGAATTTTAAAACCTAAACCACTGATTTCATTTTTAGTGGAGATTGCTGCTACAAAAAAAAAAAAAAAAAAAAATCAATGTGCCAATTCCAGCAGGAACTTCCGGTCTTCAAAACAGTGATAAAACTGAGAATGACTACAGCTGGATCTTCTTAGATCCAGTGTGAGTGTAAGCGGCCATAAAATGGTCTCAGTCCGATTAATTGCTTTAAAAGCAGAACATGAATCCCTTTATTCTAGCTGTGGGTTCCCTCAAAAATAACAAACGTATTGGGGGAGATTTGCTACAACTGCTGCACACAGAATCTGGTGCCGCTATGCATAGTAACCAATCAGCTAACTTCAGCTTTTTCAATTAAAGCAGAGTTCCACTCACCCTGGGGAAAAATAAAAGTCAGCAGCTACAAAAAACTGTAGCTGCTGACTTTTAAAAAACAGCCACTTACCTGTTCCTCGGTCCCGCGGTGTGTTTCCTGCAGCCTATTTCATCAGCTGTCCTGTATTCCAGGAGGCCGGCATCTTCAGTGTGGGCACCCGGCTGTGATAGAGTGCGGCCTTACAGCCGGGTACCCACTGCGCATGCGCAAGTAGCACTGCGCCTTAGGAATGGTCCTGTAGTCTTCTAGGACTTGTCGCGTGTCCCAAAAGACTACAGGGAGGGAGGGAGGGAGGACACCTTCCGTTTCCGATCACCTAGGCAATCGGACTGGAAGTGGGAGCGGGTACCTGTCAAATTCAGGTACCCGCTCCCCCCCCCCCCAAAGGTGCCAATCCTTAACGGGGAGCAGTCCTTAAAGCGGAACTTCCCCTTTTGGGTGGAGCTCCGCTTTAAGCTTTGCCCAAAAAAAAAAAAATCTAGAAGCTGATTGGTTACTATTTAGTAAATCTCCCCCATAGTTTATAAACTGCTAGAATAATCATCTGATACCTTTATGTAATAACTTCCTTAAATCCCAATCTTCCCACAAAATAAAATCCAATGGGTTTGTAGGAAGTCAGACTGATGAGCTGCAAGCTTTATACAGTAGAGCCAAGAGGTTTTGGCACTGGTATGTGAATCACAAGATTGGCTAAACAGCATTGCACATTTTTGGCAGGTAAATCAATACCGTCATATCTTTACCCAGAATTCCCATTCAGATCTCCACTCAAATTTTTTTTTTCAATTTCGGGCATAGGCTGCTTCCAGAACCCCTTTTCTATCAAAAACAGTAAAACAGACAGATGTGACATGTGATTACAGTTTGAGGATGGTAATCACATGCCAATTAGGCTGCATAATACGTGACTCCTTTAAAGAAGGATTATCACCATTTCTTTTTTTTTCGTATTTACAGGGAATAGACAAAAAAATGCAAGTGCACTTGCAGGCGCACCCTGTCCAACATTGACACCTAGGAAGATGGGACATAGTGCTGTATGTACTTTGCCCCTTCAGGTACTACAGAAGTTAGACAAAAAAATGGATACACTACATGATTTGCAGGTGTTAAAGTGACAAGTTTCACGCTGAAAGAAGAAGTGATGTAAAATTCTTTTGCTTCCGCTGTGTGATGAGACACCTAGCTAAAAGGTGGGAAGCCTCACTTTATTTATTTATTTCAGCGCTGTCAATTTACGCAGAACTTTCATCATTCATTGCGTGTGCTGCTAGTAATATGGAGTCATATCAGAGCTTACTGAGCTTCAAAGAGGGCAAACTGTTGGTGCCGCTTAGCTGGGGCCCCTGTGACTGAAATTGCCAATTTACTATGTGGCGAGGTACAATATCAAAGGTTATGACGGCATATACAGTGTCCAGGAAAACGTTTGTCTAATAAGCATAAGTGGTTAAAATGGTCAACGGACTGAAAGAGACAAAAAGGACATTGCGCAGGATTGTGACCTGGAATACGAAAATAACTGCTGCAAAGTGACTGCAGAGCTCAATCTCAGTCCTGTGAAAACTGAGATTGAGCTCTACAGTCACTTTTGCAGCAGTAATTTTCTTATTTTGGGTCCTTTTATCTTTCGGTCAGTTGACCATGTGGACGCCGCTTATGCTTATCAGACGACATTTTCATGGAAACTGTATATACTGTCATAACCTTTGATACTGTACCTCGCGACACGGCAAATACATTGTCAACTTCAGTCACAGAGGCACCAGCTAAGCGGACACAACAATTTGCCCTCTTTGAAGCTCAGTAAGCTCTGACATGACTCCGTATTACTCTTCACAAGCAGTAAATGACAAAAGTGAGGCTGTTATCTAGGTGTCTCATCACACAGCGGAAGCAAAAGAATGTTACATCACTCCTGCTTTCAACAAGAAACATGTCGTGACTTTCACGTCCATTTTTTTGTCTAACTCCTGTAGTTCCTGAAGGGGCAAAGTACACATAGTACTTTGTCCCATCTTCCTAGGTGTCCTAAAACAATGCAATGTTGGACAGGGTGCTCCTCCGTTCCTTATCGCATGGCCACAAAACACCACAAAGAGACTTCCTTTTATTGTAGTGCCTGACTCTGGGTCCCAGCACTTGCCGAAAGCAAGCAACAGCATGGGAAATGCAAATGGAGGTGAAGCGTGTCAGCCTCAGATCCTTCTGCGTTCCTCACGTCGGTATGTACTGTCAAACATACTGTAAGTGTGACAACAGCAACCAATCAGATTCTTTTTGTTTGAAGTCCACAAAGGAGAGAGTCTGGGAGCAGCAACAAAGACAGACATTCTATTAAACATATTTACTTTCTGTAGTACATGTATCCTAAAACTGTGCTAACACTAGGCCTGAGGTCCAACTCCACCCAAAACCAACATTTCATTTTTTGCTGGCACTGTGGCTTATGACGGACTCATGGACTCAAGTGGTAAGATAACTGACCCACAATTTCCAGCTCTGATAAAAATTACAACGCCAAATGATGTCGTCACATTCTTATTCACCATAATGCACTGCAGCTGTGAGAAAGGCACTCATTATGGCCTTGTAACAGGGAACAGACGCCACTGCAGAGAAATTTCAACATTATAGTTGCCAGGAGGTACAAGAAACTAGCCGGAAAATAACCCCATCATTCCCCCTTCTGTTTTGGGTGGACATGGCCTTTAATTTATGAAGGCCAAGACTAAAGTGCAGTAAGCCAAACTAAAGCCACAACGGTTGCCATGGTTACTGCACTTGACAGAACACACTTGATTTTTTGCATTTTTAAGTAAGTATGATGTAGCCTTAAATGCTAATTAATTAGGAATTGGGAAAGATTAAAGCACAAGCAAACAAAATGAGATAAAAGATACACTAACCTGCTGGAGGAACATTTGCATGGACTCGGCATGAATGATATTTCCTGGCGTTGCCTGGCTAAGGATGATTTTTTCGGAGCTGGGATCAATGCTGGGGCTTGGCATCGCTTGTTGAGGGGGAGGAGGTGCTAAAGGCTGCTGTGGCGGCTGCTGCTGTACATTCAACTGTAGCTGGGCTTGTCCTTGTGACGACTGCTGGGTGGTTTGGACGGTCAGGATAGAGGTTTGCTCTGTGCTGGGCAGAAGGCTGGCCCCTTGTACTATTCCAGGGCTCTGGCTGCTGCCTGCTGAGGCCTGCTGGATGCTTACTGCTTGACCAATGCCATCAGATGGATTGAACATGGCCACCTGGTTAGGCAATGTCACTCCTTGGATGACTGTCTGCCCGGCTTGGTTCGTGGTCACTGTAGGCTGACTTTGGGTGCTTAGGCTACTGGCCAGGGATACGGGCATCTGGAACAATGTGGGTTGACCCACCTGCCCCGCCTGCAGCTGTATAGGCCCCGACAAAATATGAGCTGTGCCATGAGCGTTCTGAGAAGTGAGGACCTGCCCCAAGTTCAGCTGGCTTGCAAGGTTTTGATTGGTTAGAATCTGGGCAGGCAAGGCCTGATTAAGAAGCTGGCCTCCTGGACCTTGGCTTGCAATTATGTGAGCTTGCCCACTGGGATGTGACGCAGCTAATATCTGGCCACTCATGTTGGCCTGCAGTGCAGACAGCTGCTGGACGGTTGAAGCTCCCGGTAAGAGAAACTGGTTCTGTCCTTGTAACATAGCTTGAGCATGCTGGGCCGGGATAACTATACTGCTGCCCTGGTTTAAGAGCTGGACACTCATGGGTTTGCCCAATGCCTGCTGCTGTGGGGGAGGCTGTTTGAACACATTGGCAGGGAGGCCCTGGGGAAAACTGGACAGGACCACATTTTGCCCAGGCTTACCAGCCATAAATGTCAGGTTTTGTTGGGCTTTCTGCTGTTGCTGCAGAGCTGCTTCTCCCTGAATGGTCAGTGTGGTGTTATTGGGAGCAAAAGGTTTGGGTGAGATCTGAAACAACTTCTGTTGGAGAACGCCGGCAGGTTTGGGTTGTATTGGGGTCGGAGTCCGCTGTATGATAACCGGGCTGTTCAGACTGGAAGTAACGGTTAAGGATTGCGTGCACTGGGTAGTTGACACGCTTCCAAACATGGAGCTCCCATTTAAAGTGGTGGCTACGGCGGGAATTTTGTTCTGTAAAACCAACCCTGCATTTTGTGGCGACACCCCGCTTGATGTCAGAGTGACCTGCTGCTGCTCAGGGGTAGCCCCGGTCAGGTAGCTGCCCACTGGTAGGTTGGCTACCTGTGTTGGCTGTACTTGCTTGGCAATGATCTGCTGTGCAGGCTGATTAATGGCCATCACTTGCTGTCCTACTACTTGTATTTGCCCAATACCCAACGCTCCCCCGGGGCTACCATTGGGCAATCCTGGGAGGTTGGAGATTGGCTGAATTGTAACATTACCAAGGCCAACTTGTTGGATGAAGGGCTGGACACTAATGGCCTTATTGACCACATCTGCCCCCACTGACTGCTGAACTAGCGCTTGGTGAGTCAACACTGCTGGCTGCTGCAGTCCAATTAGGTCAGCACCTCCAGAAAATATTTGGGGAGTCCCATCTGGAGCGGCTGGCACCACGGGCTGCAAAGTAGGCAACTGAAAGGAGCCCAAGTCCAGTTCTGCTTCAGCTTCAAGAGTCTGTTCTGTGATGTTGGCCTCCTGCAAGCTCTGCTGAAGGATGTCGCATGGCTGGTCAGAGTTGGCGAGGCTTGCGCTAGCCGCAGATGGAGACCCAAGGATGTCATCTGGCAAAAAGTCCAAGTCTACACCACCAGTTGATTGGTTCGGTTCTGCAGTTAAATGGTTCCCAGGAGTTTCCTGAACATGAAGCTGAAAATATTTAAAAAAAAAAAAAAAAAAAAGAGTAGAAAAATAAAACCATGTATATTACAGTTTTAAAACAAATCAAAATGCAGTATTCAAAGCCATAAGCAAACAGAATTTTATAAACCCTTTTTCATGGCAAAAAAAGAATTCTTAAGTATTACCTCCATTCTGCCACCTTGCATTGTTATGTGTACAGCAAGTTACAATTTTTTTTCCTGGTTTACACCTAATAAATACAGAGGAGGTTGAGGACTCACAAAAGGTCCTGACGTTACACATTATTACACATACCTAATAATAAGCTACCCATTGACTTTTTATAGCCTTAAAAGATGTGCAATTTTGAGTCAATCTTTTGTCTAAGAAAAATCCTGTGCATTTTTAGTCAGGAAAGAATTGCAAACAGCAGGAGGGCACCAGAAAAATCAATCTATGGAAATTGATTTTTTAGTCCATCAATTGTCCTAAAAATATTCTATTTATATGTCTATTTTTTCCCACCTCAGTGTATGTATAGCCAAACCTTATTATACATTTTTGATAAAGGAATATTGAAAACCCCTATTGGGTTAATGTTTTTTGCTACCCTTGTCCTGCTGGGGAAATTTCCCTTCACCTCCTGCCCTGGAGCCTCAAAAACAAGTGAAAAAACCCCCCAAAATAAGAGATATTTTTGGAAATGCCAACACACGTTAACTGTATCTGAAAGCATTGCATCTGATACTATCTGGCACTGTCACATGTATACCTTGTCATAAAAAAATGCTGAGCACTCAAAGTTGTATGTGGCTGTGGAATGATCATTTATACTGAATTCTATTAGACCAAACAAATGGCCAAACCTCTAAGCAAGCACTGACACAAGTTCACCACAAACAGATCTTGTTCCGGATTTGATCTAATCAACATTTACCAACAAGCATGTAGTGTGAGGAGAGGGCCTGTCTAAACAATCCATTCACGTTATACCCAAGCAGGAAGCTCACACTACATTGCTGATAAATGTTGTTGATTCAATGATATTAATCAAAATAAGAAAATTGACAGTGTGTCCAGCATTATGTATTTGGGCAGTTTAAAGGCATTGGAGGCAACTTAAAAATAAATAAATGTAGAGAAAATTTAGCACAAATGCGTTGTCATTGCTAGTAATGGCACAGAACTACAAGTCTCATCAGGACAAAGGTTATTGTTTATAAGAATTAACAGGTTAAAGTTTTCGTAAAGCAACCAGTTTTGTTTTAAAGTGTTACTAAACCCACAACAGTAAAATCAGTCTGTATATGCAGTAAAGCATGCTTGATATACTCCCTGTGGAACCTAAGGGATTAATTCTCTGCACTGTGTAAAAAAGGCTGTTTGATCCTGACTTCTCTGATCCTCCCCTTCTTCCAGTGTCCTCCCTCTTATCTCCTGATAAGACAGATTGTGGGGAGACACTCTGCACATGTTCAGTTTAGTGTGTATTGCTAGAGAGGTTTTTTGTTTCTTGGGAGAGTGCATGTGATCAGCACAGGAGCAATCAGCGCTGTCCAGACAGAAGGTCAGGGGTTCTGCATCCTCCTAGAGCAGAAAGAAAACTCCTACAAGCTTTAACTAGTGCTCCGCTGAACATTGATAGAAGACAAGACTGCTCTAACTGCTGATGAGACAAGGGATTTAGCAGTTTATATTTAACTAAAATAATTACATTTCCATGTTCAGTGTACTGCAGGAGACTAGATCTAGTGAATGCAGGGTCCTGGGTTCAGTAACACTTTAATCCCTCTCTTCCCCAACAGTATATATTTACTATTCCTATGCTCCTCCCCACTAAAGCTGGGTACATGTGTACTAAAAGTCGGCTGGTTCAGCAAGAATCGGAGGACCTTCGGTATGTTTGTACTCGTCTCTGTTCAATGAAAGTTGATCTCACAACCGGCTTCTGGAAAACCAGCACTGATCAGCCAATGGCTGCCGTGCTTGTGAGGATGCAGGGATCTGTCAGTCTTTTTTCATTTAACCCAAGGTTGAGAGAGAAAAAAAAAACCAAAACAAAAAAAACTGTGTATAAGGACTGCTTTAGTTACCCGGTACTTCTAGTGACTGAATATGTGATTCAATCATGTGACAGTACTGTAGGGTAGAGGACAGCGTTTATAAGTTATGGCTACAGTTACATATTTCCCTGGGCTATACATTAATCCGTCTATTTGGAGCTGTGCAGGAATCCCACAGAAGTCTGTAAATCTGCCCAATGTATTCATAGCACTTTCCCCAGCAGGCTTAGGGAAAGCAGAGTAAACAAAGTGGGTGTGATGGGGGACTGAAGGATTTTGCTTTGCAAGCTTCTGATTTGGAGGGGAAGGGGGCTGTTGGTCTTTTGAAGTAATAGTTTTTTGTATTCACAAAAAAATCTGTGTCTTGGCATTCTGTTGAGGGACTGAGGAAGTTATTGGGTTATATTGCTGCCTACAGGAGAACTAGACAATGGCAAACAAAAAAAAAAAAAACATTGTTTTTTCCTCCTACAACTCCTACTCCTACTACCAGCATCCTTCCATCCTGGAAGTCGGGACATTGAAAAGCCATCATATTGAGGAAAGAGCAACAGCAGACAACAACCAACAGGCCCTACAAGATGAGAACGGGCACTGCCTGCAGCTCATTAGCTCTCTCAAGGACTAATGCCCGAAGCTGGCACTGTATAAAGCAGAACCCCCCCATCTGGTAAGGAGAACAATGACAAAACCAAGAGGAGAACAGCTATGGAACTTCACCTGAGGCCTGAAGACCAAGAGAAGGGTCACATACCCAGTGAAGAATGTCTCAGCAAGAGAAAGAACACTAAACCATCAACTGAAATGTGAAACTGGTCAACTCAAACCAAAAAGTAGAGTAAAATAGAAAACATTTTTGCTACAAGGAAAAGGCTCACGATGTAAACTGTGGTCAACAAGGAAAGAGCTGTGACCAGACAGAGTAACCTAAGGACTATGTCTTGGTAAAAGACCAGAGCCGGTCCAAGGAGAAAAAGGACCTAAGCTTCAACTCATTTGATCCCATAAAATACATTCACCTCAGAGATGAGAGCTGAATGAGAACTGTCAGGTAGGAACCCTGAGAATTACTTATTTTAGAAGAACCCCCAAGGAGTGTAATGGGTTCACCTGGGGAACCAAGGCTCAATCCCACAAAGTCAACTTGACCAACAGGGATGTTACCATATTTTCCCCACAATAAGGACTGCAACTCGATAGAGCAGAGAACCAATCTCAACTCACAACCATCAGCAACAAAGTGACTCTTTGGGTGAAACCTAAGGGAAAACTTTGAGGTCCTGAAACCTCGAAGATTAACAGGGCTACAGATACTCTAGACTTCTCAGATCCAATGATACAGTCCAGACCAATGGTCAGCGAATCTATCAGGTTGGCAAACAACATATGCCTGAGTTAAATCAGAGCAAGAAAGGCCAACAGAAAAGGTCTACCTCTAGAGTCTGGGGACAAAAAAAAATGGAAACGTACAGATCCCATGAAGTCCTTGGAACATTTCCTGTTGATGCCAGAGGATCCCTGCAACAGGGAACAAGCGGTTTCAGCATAGAGATGGCCTATGGTATCATGAAGCCTCCCTCCGATGTCCTTCAGGTGCCTGGATTGTTACCCAGTAGTAATTAGTTGGAAAAAACTGGCCTTCCAAAGACTGCACTTGAAATGAAAAAAAGCAGACTGGACTGGAACAACGGTATTTATATCAGGAGACCCCATCTAGGGAATGATCCCACGATGAAAGAAGAACCACCTTTTCTGGAACTCCAGAATGCATACCAGGAGACAACGCTTCTCTAATGAAAAGACCTTCCATAAAAGGTGGAGGAAATTAAAGTTTTTACCAAAAATGAAGGCCAGAAGGCTCATGTATACCATGACATGCGTTCGATTTGCATATCCTAAAAAACAAACATATTCTAATTAGTGAACTTAGGACATGTTGGGATACAGCTCACAAGTTCAGACTGGAACAGGAGATAGGACAAGGTCCCAAGAGAACACAGATGGGTCTGCAAGACTGTATCGTGGCACAGGAAAGTCAAAAGTTAGGAGCTGTAGATAGCATGGTTACAGAGTATTCAGTCTGTAATCCTGTGAGGGCACTCTTTGCGTCTAAATGTCTGAAAGACAAACTACCCAACAGTCTGCAAGGATTTACAAAGACTCTTTCCACAAAACGTGGAGGCACACCTTCACCTAATGAAGGCTTACCTAGGGGTTTAGCAAGCTTCTAACTCCCCACTTTTATGGGTGGCCTGGAGAACCAGGGTTGGAAGCCAAAGGGGACAAAAAAGGAAGGAGACATAGCCAATCTTTTTTTAAACTTCTAATGCGGAGCAAGTGGGGGTTTTGGCCTTCAGTGACATCCTCAATGTCAAGGGTAGGTACGAAAAGAAGTCGCCTCTTAAAGACCAAACAAGTCAGGGCACTCCTTGGACGCAGTGTTCTCATTCCAGCACTTTATCCAGAGAATCTGTGTGTTTTTGCAGACAATAGACCCATATAGGACACCAGGCGGATGCTTCCAGGAGACCATCAAAGCTGGAGTATGAATATCTAGACATCAGCTCTACATGCGGAATCAGGAAAGGATTGACTGCTGCAGTAGAGAAAACTTGAGGAATCTAAACTATTATGCCACAGTTTGACAAATTAAGATTACAGCCATAACAGGGCAACTGGGTTTTGAAGTAAGAGATTCTAACTGTTCTTTGGTAGAATCCTTGAATGTGTGTATTTGCAACTGCAGGAGCTTTGCAAGTCCCATGGCTGGATGCATTGCGTCAATAAGAGCCAAAACTGTCTACTTTCAATTTGGCGCAATAGCAGAAGACGGATTCTGCTCATGGCACTCAAAAGCCAGCTTAAGGATAAGCTGCTCTGGATAGCTGCAATCAAAGATACCAGCTCTAGCAGCAATGTAGAGATGACTGAAGAGAAAAATGAAGAAAAATGGAGAAAAAAAAAAATGCTAGCAGGAAAATTTGTAGACTTTTACTAGCAGAGCTAAAGAAAGACTTCCGTAAACTAAAGCATGCTGGTAGATGGAGGGGTTATCCTGGGCAAACCTACAATTTTGTCTTCCAATGTCCAATCTTCTTGTGAGAGGCAGTATAACCCTACTGTTAATTACTTCCTGTGTCCCTCAATGAACGAGATAAAAAATGAGATTAAAAAATGAGATAAAAAAAGTTTTATCATTTCAGTTCAGCTTTAAGGTTCAGTTGTGCTGAGGGGTAACACGTTTATTAGTCTGAAAATGTTACTCCCTTTCAGGTGTTATAAACTTGTTTTGGTTTTGAAACTAGACAAAAAATAACTACCTTTTCATATAACTCAAGCATGTTTGGGGGCAGAAAATGTGTATTTGTGAATACTAATTGGCTAAAAGAAAAAAAGTATGAAAGAATGAATAAAAGTTATTACCCCAGTGCCCACAAAGAAGGCACTCGCTGCATCTCCTGTGTTATCCAGCAAATCATCTCCGTCAATCTAGAAGAATTTAATAAGCAAATGTTATAATAAACATAAATGTAACCAAAAATTTGAAAAATTGTGGAAAGCTGCACAGCTGGTCATCCCACAAGTTTCTTCCATCTATATTATCTATAGCAATTTATCAGATTAATTTTAAACACTGGACTAGATCCCTGCCTTTGGTATGTCATAGAACTGATAGGTATCCAATGCGACATATTGAGAAGGTTATTCAAATATGACAGTCAATTCACATTATAAATGTTTCCAAGTATTTCAAAGCTGTATAAAATGAAGGCAAAATGCTTGGACAAAATCTACTTGCAACTAGGACCACCAAAATTAAGGTGTTGTAGTTAGGGGAATGTTGAACACATCCTGCAAGCAACATGCTAGTTACAAGCATTTTTCTAGGCTCAAAAATACACTACAGTATTCTTTTGATAAAACACTTGAAAAATACTCATAAATTACCTTGTGAAAAGCATAAGATGTTAGGAAACGTTTTCAAAATGCTCATAAATAGACTTCCATAAGTGCTAGAATATCTGTCATTTTTCAGCTTTAGAAAAAGGTCTTTACAACTCAATGTCCTTGTGCAGGTACAATACTTTATGTTAGCATGTAGTGATAGGTTAATAAATGGATTTGAAAAAACAGTACATTCCTGCAATGCATTCATACAGTATTTACCAATGTTTTCCCACTTAAAAAATGCTGCAAATAGAATTAGTGACTTATTGTAAAATCCTAAAAGGGACAAAGGATTAGTATTCAGGTTTGTTGGGTTATGTTACTGCCTTCAGGAGATTGAACACTGGTAAACAAAGCTGAAAGGAGAGCCTAGTATAACCCCTTCCACTCACAGCCTGGATCAGTGTACTCCAAAGATAAGGATTTTAAGAGAAATAAAATGTATTATTTTAATTGTACTTTAGGGACAAAGGATGACGTATTCAGGTAGAATGGGACATGCAAAACCAGCACAACTGAGGGGAGGATTAACAAAGCAAATGAAAGGCTACACAGGCCCACAAACCTGCTCAAACTTAAATCAGAACTAAACTCTCCTATCCTTTACAGCCTTGGGGAAAAAAAGGGTAGAATGAGTTGTCAAATCAAACTAGTGATAGTGGAAAGTGAAGTAGCTGGTCCCCTAGGGGGGACCTTCAGCAATAAAAAAAAAAAAAAAAAAAACCCAAAGAGTCAGACTTCCAAAAGGGAACTGCAGCTTGGAGACATACTCAAATAGTGTATAACACATCCAGAAAATAGAGGAAGATCTCCTTAGGAAGTTTAGCAGCCGGACAGGAAGATGGCAGAACAATGTCTGGTTAAGCTGAAAGGAAGAACCCACCTTGGGTAAAAAAGAAGCCATGGGTTTAAATCCGCCTTCTCTTTGTGTAACATAAGAAAGGTTTCGTCATATGTTAAGGCCACCAATGTAGACTTGACATGTACAAGTGATGGTAATGGGAAAGACAACCTTGATGAGGTGGACAGAGAAAAATCCCTGATGGGTTCAAACAGTGGTTTTTGAAGAGCCTACAAGAACCACGTTGAAATCTCAGAGAGTCACTGGAAAACGTATAGTGGGAATACTTTGAGCGTCACTATAAGAAGGTGTGAGAGGCAACCAATTTTTGAAAATGAATTGTTAACCAATTCAATACCGTGCAATTTTACACCTTCCTGCCCAGGCCATTTTTCAGGTTTCAGCGCTCTCACACTTTGAATGACAATTGCGCAGTCATACAACATTGTACCCAAACTAAAATTTTATCATTTTCTTCACACAACTAGAGTTTTCTTTTGGTGGTATTTAATCATCACCGGGGTTTTTATTTTTTGCTAAATTAACAAAAAAGACCGAAAATTTTGAAAAAAAAAAACACGTTTTTACGTGTTTGTTATAAAAGTTTACAAATAAATAATTGTTCTTCATAAATTTAGGCCGAGATGTATTCTGCTACATGTCTTTGGTGAAAATAACCCAAATTAGGATGTATTTTTTAGTTTGTAGGAAAGTTATAGAGTTCACAAACTATGGTATAGATCTGAATATTGATCAATCCTGAAGTACTGACAGCCAATCTAATTTCTTGAGGTCCAAGAATGTCAGAATAGTACAGATATCCCCCAAATGACCACTTTTTGCAAAGTAGACAGTCCGACGTACTTCATAAGAGGCATGGTGAGTTTTTTGAAGTTGTATTTTTTTGTCATAATTTTTTCGGAAAATGAAAAAAATCAAAAAAATGATTTTCACTATTTTTTTTTTTTTTTTTAACATACTGTCACCAGTGCAGTACAGCATCATCATATAACTGGCATGGCGGTGATCAGGGACATTGACTCATGACCGTGTGAAAAAAAAAAAACTATATATATATTTTTTTGTATTTTTATTTATTTTAAATATTTTATTAAATTTTCTTTTTTTTAAGATTTTTTTTTCATATTTCACTATGTCCAAAGTAGTACAATGTTACCATAGTAACATTGTACTACTTTGGGGAAGTGATAAGTATTTTTTTTTTTTTTTTTACACAATTTGCTTATAGCAAAGAATTACTTTGCTATAAGCAAGCATTTACCTGAATGACATCGATTCATTCAGGGTTTTTTTTGTGCTTAGCTGTGATTTGGCCACAGCTAATCACATGACATGTGCATGTGACTAGCTGTGACCATTCACAGCTAGACACTAGTATACAATGGATGGCATGAATGAAGCCATCCATTGTATACAACTGTGGTCACAGCAGGTCACATGGTACCGGCAGTGGGGGCCAGTACTCAGATCTGTCATCGGCCGTGTCCGAGGTACACGGCCGGTGACAGATCGCGCTGCTGTGCGGCTCTGCAAGCGCGCGAACTGCTCATGTGCGGGAGGACGCCATATGGCGGCCTCCCGGAAAGTTAATACATTTTTACGGACGCCATTTGGCCATAGGCCGGGCGTCAAATGGTTAAGAAAGAGACTTGACCCTTGATGGTAATCAAGGCCAAACAATGATTCAAATCAAACAGGAGAAAAGACATGATTCATCCCACAGAGAACTTCTTGGGATGGTATTTCCCTGTTACACTAAACAGGCTTGAGTAGAAACCCTGGAACCTTATCTTTGGACAATGGCTATAACTCTCTGCGAGTGGAGCTCTGCCAGAGCAGGACACAGGTCTGCCAATCTATGTAGGAGTGCTGGAAATTGTGACAACATGAAGTGGGGTAGAGACAAAGATCGAAATTCAAGCTTGTAGACCCTGGGCACAACGTTCTGTACCCAATGTCTTAAATATCCCAAGACCAGATGGCCAAAAAGGCCTATAAGACTTCCATTACTCAAGCTGGGACAACCCTCATTGTGAGGAGGACTTCTTTGAGGATTTGGGTCCAGGACTTTTGGCGAAACTGTGTTCAGGGCTTAGTCTTGGAGGCCCTGAGAAAAAGGAAAGGCACTCTTCTTAGCTTCAGGATTTTGCCCTCTTTCTGGGATAAAAAGCTACTCTGCCCCATGGTGAACTCCTTGATAAAATTGTCCAGGGTATCACCAAAGAGGAGTTCCCTATAAAAGGGAATACATTTTTTTGCATGGATGCTCCACAGACCAACATATAAGCTAAAGGATCCTATGAAAGTGTCAAACAGTTCAATTCTGGATTTTTAGCATATAATATCCATTAGCCTTTCAACACAGAGTAGGGTCACTGTTGAGCTCTAATTGTAGAGGATAAAAGGGTCCATTGGGATAGATTCGGGATGCCTTGAAAACAGGATTTAAACAGGATGTCCTCATTAGGGACAGTAGGAGCCTTGTTAAGCCAGGAAAAGGCAAGGTCCAGAACAAGGATGGTTCACTTTTTCAAAACCACTCATCCACAGGATATGCCTGGGCAAAATGTTTTGGAGGATCAAAGCCTTTATCCAGATTAGGCCAACTACTGTACAAGGTAGGCAGGATGCAGGGAACATGCCACTGCCACTAGTCTTTACCCCACTGGTGGGCATACTCCCTAAAAAATGTTCAGGGTCAGAGAAGCCTTGAAGATCTGCAGCCCTAGACCTGCAAAGTAACGTGTAGCTGACTCAAACACTGCACATAGGTGCATAAAGAGTTCAGTGCCCAAGACACACTACAGGCCACTCCTGATTTTATCTCCAAATGGGGTACAGGTACTCAGAGAAGAAAAAGAATCTTCATTTTTATAAAAAATGGTTTTGTTTCTCTCAGGGGAGAGAAGCCATCATTGTACTAGGACACTAGCAAAAACTGAGGCATGCTGAGAATGAGAGAAATTATACTGAGATATCCTTAATGCTTTTGTCCAATCTAAAGTCAGCAGCATAAACCAATATACTAGAATACTTCACCCTGTGTCCCGTAATGTACAACCAGGGCAAAAAGCAGGAAGTACATGCATCAAAAATTGCATTAACCTCACTGGGTGGCAAAGAAATCTAAGGGGCCCAAAGTCTGCTGATTTACATAATATATGTTATTTGCTACATGTATTAGTCTACCCCCTCCCCCAAAGCATTTAACAAGATGCATTTAATAAATTGGGGTATACATCATTTATATTCAAATTGTTAGCATTATCTTGATTCTAAAGTCTAATTCCCCTAATAAAATGTTTTGGGTCGTATCCCTCTACACATTTATACTTTAAATCACACTGTACTTGTACCTCACCTTATCGGATCCATGTAAGAAGTCATTCAGAGCCTGGGGGTCACTGTAAAAACAACAAAGGACAAGTTATAAATCAGATCAATTAGCCATCCCCTTTTATGATAATGCATCACCAACAGCGGTTTTCAAGATATTTCAATCTCTCAGGGAAGGGTGAATTATCTATCAAGTGACTTGAAGGCATTTTAACAAGCAACCAGCTCGATTTGGCTGACAGTTTAAATGGCTTGTACACATAAAAAAAACAAAAAAAAAAACAAAAAAAAAAAACCCACAAAGAAAAAAAAAACACATACACTAGTTTTGATTTAATTACAAAACACAGTTGCTAGTGACACTCTGGTTCACAGTGTTATTACAGTGCAAACTGTATTCTGCATTTGACGATTTCCAAAAGAACAGGTTAATTCCTGGATGTGTGCGCAAGTTTAGAAGACCGGACAACTGAAATCTCTGCATAGCCCAGAGTTAGGGGAGAAGACGGCTGATGCATTGACACATGACACAGACCACACTAGTAAACACTAGAATGTAACGTCACACATATCACGTTCTTCCCATGACTGAGTGAGCATTGAAGATGATACCATTAGAATCGAATACTTTAATGAACTCATTTTTGTCAATCACTATGAAAGTATATTGTTTACCATTTTCAATGAATTGAACGGAATTCAGAATGCATGTCGTATAAAAATATATCCAACATACCTGATTTACTGCTAGTACGAAAGCTTTAGAATAGCAGTTGAAGAGAAACTAAAAATGATTTTATGCAACATATTTATATACTGTATTTTATTTTATTTTATTTTACGGTTTCAAAAATATTTTCTATCATGTTTATTTTGTATAAAATACAAAACAGTACACTGACAACGGGTTGCATTCATGACATTTCGTTTGCAAAGCACGCTTTGTCTTTGGCAGCCTGTGTGAATTCACAAACTTCACAACAGATGTACAGAAAGATTTCATGGGTAGACCTAATGCACTGCCTGTAGTTGGCAAATGCTAAATTATTCATATGCAAAAATGATATTCACCCAATAAAAATATGAAACATTTTTTGTGTATGTGTTTTGTTTTTTATATTGAACAAAATCAGTAAGAAAATATACAGAGGTAAGACAAAAAAAAAAAAAGGAAAGTGAAAGTGACAAAAGGTGTGAAAGTGACATGTTTTGCGTTGACAGTGGAAATGATGTAACATTCTTTTGCTCCCGCTGTGTGATGAGACACCTAGCTAACAGGTGGGAAGCCTCACTTTCATCATTCAATGCATTTGCTGCTAGTATTCCGGAGTCATTTCAGAGAGGGCAAATAGTTGGTGCCCGCTTAAGCTGGTGCCTCTGTGACTGAAGCTGCCAATTTATTTGCCGTGTGACGAGATACAGTATCAAAGGTTATGAGGGCATATACAGTTTCCGGTAAAAAAATTTCTGATAAGCATAAGTGTGGTTGACATGGTCAACTAACCAAAAGAGACAAAAGGACATTGTGCAGGATTGTGACCCAGAATAAGAAAACAATTGCTGCAAAAGTGACTGCAGAGCTCAATCTCAGTCTTCATTGGACTTTTTCTTTATGGGACTGAGATTGAGCTCTGCAGTCACTTTTGCAGCAGTTGTTTTCTTATTCTGGGTCACAACCCTGCACAATGGCCTTTTGTCTCTTTCGGTCATTGACCATGTGGACCGCGCTAATGCTCATCAGAGGATATTTTCCCGGAAACTGTATATTCAGTCATAACCTTTGAACTGTACCTCACGGCACGGCAATTAAATTGGCAACTTCATTCACAAAGGCACCAGCTAAGCGGCACCAACTATTTGCCCCCTTTGAAGCTCAGTAAGCTCTGACATGACTTCGTATTGCTAGTAGCGCACGCAATTCATGATGAAAGTAAGGCTTCCCACTTGTTAGCTAAGTTTCATCACACAGCGGAAGCAAAAAAATGTTATATCACTTCCAATGTCAACGCAAAACATGTTGTCGCTTTAATGTGAAGTTATTGATTCTCAAAGATCACAACAAAAACCCTAAAGTTAGTTTCCTACAGCTGGGATGGCAGGCTGCCAAAAAACAGAAAAAACTTCCTGTGTTCAGAATAATCTCTCCACAATGCTTATTGCTACAGAGGTAATTGAGGGCTATAGCATAAAGGAAAAAAAAATATTGTTTTTCTTTTTTCAAAATATTTCAGCCTTATTTCATTTATATCACAAAAAAATTAAAAACCCAGTGGTGATCAAATACCAAACGAAAGCTTAATTTGTGTGAAAAAAAATTATATAAACTTCACGTATGTACAGTGTTGCATGACTGTGTAACTGTCACTTAAAGTAGCAAAGCGCTGTATACGAAAAATGGCCTGATTATTAAGAGGGGTAAATCTTCTGGAGGTCAAGTGGTTAAAGTGCTATTACTGCTTGTTCAGAATATGTACCGTATTTTTCGCCGTATAAGACGCACCTGACCATAAGACGCACCTAGGTTTTAGAGGCAGAAAACAGGAAAAAAAAAATTTCTGAACTAATGGACTGCAGACACAGTACAGGAGCACAGGGATGACCAGAGACTGCGGACAGCACAGGGATGACCAGAGACTGCGGACAACACAGGGATGACCAGAGACTGCGGACAGTACAGATGACTGCTGACCTTTGGGGAGGTGGGGAGCGGGTACCTGAATTTGACAGGTACCCGCTCTTACTTCCGCAGAGTTTTTGTTTGATCTTACCTGTTCCTCGATCCAGCCGGGCGCTGTCTTCCCGGCTTCTGTAATGGAGCTCGGCATGACAGCCGGGTGCCCAGTGCGCATGAGCGAGAAGCACTTGCGCTTTGTGATTGGTCCGGCGGCTTCTGGGATCTGTCATGTGTCCCAGGTACCGCCTTACCATTCACAAAAAGCACCGCTTCTTGCGCATGCGCACTTGGCACCCGGCTGTCATGCCCAGTGCCCACACTACAGAAGCCGGGAAGACAGCACGCCGCTGGATAGAGGAACAGGTAAGGTCCCGCTGCAGAGCTGAGCGGCCGGCCCGGTATTCTGACACGGCCGCGGTGGAAATACCGGACCGGCCGCTCCATATTTGCTCCATAAGACGCACTGACATTTCCCCCCCAGTTTTGGGGAAGAAAAAGTGCGTCTTATACGGCGAAAAATACGGTAAATATTTTATTGTGCATGATTTGGGAACAGGATCACTTTACGGTAGGCATCAAGAACAATACCGGATTACAGAGCGACTGGATGGTCTGGAATAAATAAAATGTATCGGGGGGGGGGTACAAAACTGTTTGGTACTACTCACCAAATTACATCTAGCAAACATCGGCCATCTTCATCGTCCATGTCAACTGTGGGAAAGAAAAATACAGAAAATTAATGTCACAAGAACAGCAAAAACACCATAAGGCTGAATTCAATGAAAACTATTTCCCCAAAAAATAAAAGATTCACCCTGATTAGCTGCAAATGGCAACTGCATGCTTTCAACTTTACAATGAATGAACCTCCTGGAGGAGCAGAATGATTTCTACCCTTCTATTTCTAAGGTTTTTCTTTAAAAAACAATAAAATATAAAAATAAAAAGACCTGGTGTGAATATATTTTAGAAGCGATAAGGCCTTAAACATTTCATACTCAGTACGCAGGTATTTCCATAAACTCGTGTACGTACATTATACTCCAGAACGCGACTCCTGCACATTTAAGGAGTGTGTGCAAAAGTGTACGCAAGTGCGAAGTATACCCATGTGCAGCTATTCATTATGGGGGGCCTTATTATTATGGGGAGCTGTATGCTGGGCACAGAAGCCTCAAACCGCCCATGAGCCTGAGGCCTAACAGCAAATTCTCAAAAACAGTAGAAAGAGTTTCCTATTAAACAAACATGGTGGTTTCACATATATGGCACTGCAGTCAGATGCACATTTTAATACATGTTACTGAAATGCACCAACCCCAGTCCACTGCAAAGTCCTTTATTTTTAATGCATTCTTAAGTTACTAAACCAATACACCTGAGTTGCAGTGCACCATGAAATGCGTTGTGGCGTCAGCTAAAGTGTTGCAAGGGTCTATTTACCGGAAGATCATGTGTTTCACTCGTGGACAGCACAGTGGCTTAATGGTTAGCACTTCCACCTGGTACTAGGGTCGTTGGTTTGAATCCCAACCATGGCACCAACTGCCTGGAGTTTGCATGTTCTCCCTGTGCCTGCGTGGGTTTCCGCTGGGTTCCTCGCACACTCCAAAGACATTCTGGTAGGTTAATTTTCTCCTCTCTAAATTGGCCCTAGTATATGTATGTATGAATGTGAGTTAGGGACCTTAGATTGCATGCCCCTTGAGGGTTAGGGACTGATGTGAATGTACAATATAGATGTAAAGCGCTGCGTAAATTGGGCACTTATCACTGCCATTACCAGTATAGTGTCATAGCTGCATAAAAATCCAGTATATATACCATCGTTTGTAGGTGCTATAACTTGCGTACAAACCAATTAATATACGCTTATTTTTTTACCAAAGACAGAATACAATTTTAGCATAAAAATGTATGAATTTGATTTTTTAGATTTTTTTTTTTAACAGAAACTAGGGTTGTTGGTTCAAATCCCAACCACTGCACCACCTGTCTGGAGTCTGCATGTTCTCCCTGTGCCTGCATGGGTTTCCTCCGGGTACTCCAGGTTCCTCCCCACACTCCAAAGACATGCTGGTAGGTTAATTGGCTCCTGTCTAAATTGGCCCTAGTATGTGTGTGTATGAATGTAAGTTAGGGACCTTAGATTGTACACCTCTTGAGGGTTAGGGACTGATGTGAATGTACAATATATATGTAAAGCGCTGCGTAAATTGACGGCGCTATATAAGTACCTGAAATAAATATACATATTGGACCACACAAGTGTAAACTAGGACCCACATGATAGGAGATAACAGGGCCTAGCAGTATTGTAAAAGTACATGTATACTACTCTGTATGGAAAGAAAACACATCTTAACCTACCCTTACGCAAAATGGTGACAGCCAGAAATACTAGGGGGGTATTTTTTTCAGCAATATAAAGCACGGGGACATGGATGAAGGGGGGGGAGTTTGCTTTGCATATGAATTAAATAGCACTTTTGCTTTGTGGTGCTCAGATACAGTGCAGTCCTGCTTTAATAAATAAGTGATTCAAGAACCTCAAATCTTTCTGGACTTTCATATGCAACTTTGTATAGTCTCGGACGGCATTATGGAATGTTCTGACCAACGATCTTTGGACAAACATTCACACCAAAACCAAGTAAGGTATATAGCCAGCTTAAGCGAGCAGCACCTTAAGGTCCCTTTCACACGGGCGGTTCAATTTCAGCTTTTAGCTGCAGTCAGAGGAACGCATTTACTGCAGCTAAATGCAGACAATGCATCCCTATGGCTCCGTTCACACACTGCATTTAGCAACGTTTTCATAACATACAGTTTTATGTGTTTAGGAAAAACAAAGTCAACGACGCCCAGGAGCGATGTACCGCAGCTATCTGTATATAAACGCAGTTAATCGCCGTACAAAGAAAAGATAAGTAAACCGCTGCTATAGAAAAGGCAGGAATATACTACCGCAGCTAAACGCAGCCGCACGTAAACGCATGTAATCGCAGATAAACGCAATGTACAAATGCAAGTTATCTCTGTGCCAGAAATGTTGGAATTTAAAAAGAAAAAAAACAAGCATTTACGAGTGGCAGAACAACCGCCCATGTGAAAGAGGCCTAAGGTTCATTGAAGTTACTGGTTCCTACTCTGTATTGTCTCCCTTTATAATGTAGAGCGCTGAGCAAACTGTTAGTGATATATAAATCCTGTATAATAATAATAACTGATAGGCATACAAATCCTCTGCCTATAGGACTCCACATTGAGGCTGGGTCCACACATACGCGGTGCGGTACACATTACGGTTACAATTTGGTACAAGAGGAAACAGAGGGCCCGGCTCGTCAGAGCTTACAATCTAGGAGGAAGGGCTGAGTGGTACAAAAGGTAATACCTGTGGGGGGATGACCTGATGGAGGAAATAAATGGCAGTTTACTAGGTAGAAGCAGGATAGACTTCTTTAACCTCCCTAGCGGTCTGATTATGTCCATATTTCTGTGCTCAAAGCGGTACATTTTTTTGCATGGAAATATGTATTTTGTTTATTGTAGGCCTGTCATTTTTAGGAATAACTCACTGAAATCTGTCCAAACAAGAGTCTAGTAAACATCCCGGGTATGATCAAATTTGAAACACGAAATCATAAATTATAATATAATAAATAATCATAAAAAATAATAATTTAATAATAAATTTAATTCAATAATATAATCAAACCAAAAACACTGAAATTTGAAATAGGACGCCAAGTTCGCACATCGCTGAGCAAAGTCACAAAATCGTTTTCAGTGTCTGATGACGAATTTCCCCACAAATCATTATCACTCAATTCTGCAAGTGTTTCTGATATACTATCGCTGTTCTCTAGCTGGTCTAAAACCGATTTTGACATAAAGGGACGCTTTTTGGACGCCATGGACATTTCTCAGTTTCCAGGCAGAAAGAACAGTAAAAATGCAGGCAGGGCACCGGACAAAGCACTCGGGACAAAATGTATGTGAAATGGTTTGATACAGTAATGTTTTACTATGTGATTTTAGTGAATGTCACTTTTTGTCATTTTCAAATTTCCCGCCGTTCCGTCCCCCGTACATCCCGACGTCGCAGGGGACGGAACCCAGACGACAGATGCCGGCATCGGCCTGAGGACATTACAGGGGACACTGCAGGAGGGACATTGCGGGAGCGCAGGACAAGGTAAGTGAAGAACAGATGCTGGAGCAGCGCCGCATAGTAAGCCCGAGTGTAGCTCGGGGTCACTGCTTTTGGTACTGAAACCTTACCCCAAGCTACACTCGGGAATACCACCAGGGAGGTTAAAGAGAAAGGTTTTCAGGGATCGTCTAAAGATGGATAGATTAGGAGACCGCTAGACAGAGTGAGGTAGGGAGTTCCATAGGATGGGAGAAGCTCGGGAGAAGTCCTGGAGGCGCACATGGGAGGAGGCGACACGGGAACTAGAGAGCAGGTCTTGGGAGGATCGAAGAGAGCGGTTTGGTTGATATTTTGAGACCAGGTTGGTGATGTAGCTGAGGGAAGAGTTGTGGATGGCTTTGTAAGTTGTTAGTATTTTGAATTGTATTCGTTGAGCGAGTGGAAGTCAGTGGAGGGATTGGCAGAGAGGGGTAGCAGACACTGAGTCATACATTTTGTATGGCTCCAAATCGCACCGCATCAAAAAGGTTTAGGACCCCTTTTTGGGTCCGCACTAGAATCGGATCGCATGCATATTCACAACCATGCGATCTGATTCTGCATATCGCACCGCGTTTTGCGGACCAATTTCGGGGCGTTGTTACCTTAACATACACACCCGCAGTGGTTCACATGAACGAGGTGCGATTGTGATGCGGTGTGGTGTGGAATTCCACAGGAAAAGCTGCAAATTTCTCACTGCATCAGTGTGAACCCAGGCTCAATAATACAAATAAAAGTAATATTGAATAGGTATCACGTGGGCAACTAAAGGGTGACATCACTAGCCGACGGATGGCTGGGAACTCGGAGGTGAAAGGTGACTTTGTTCTGGAAGATGAGAGATCTGGCTGAGGGCCAGGCCTGGGCAGGGGCCAAGAAGGTGTCAGTTACCGGCCCGGAAGACAGCTCTGCTGTGCAATGTGCACTACCGCTGCACCGCCGAACAACAGCACAACTAACAAAGGGGGCAGCTTGTAGGAGAGCCACAGGAAGAGTGCTGGCAGTCAGCTGGGACAATGCAGGGAGCTCCAAAGAGAACGCCGGCCCCATGGCACGCTATGCCGGGAGAAACTTCCCAGCACACACACAGTATATGGAGTCCTACAATCACCAGGCTGGTATGAAGCCCGGAATATATTACACAGGCAGTGCAATGCAGAAGGGAAGTGCAGAGAACGTACAAATCACAGTAAACCATAGCAACTGGAGAGCGGTAGTAAAAAAAAAAAAAAAAAAAAAACCCAACAAACGTACACAAACACACAGTATAGTAATTGACATTTCTCGTCACCTCCCCCTGAATACACAAGCAGTAGTTATTGCCTACATCCAATGTGAAATGAAGGGGTGTGAAGTTCCCCGCTCGTAAAAGGTCTGCATATTGCACAATTCAGGGCCAACGCTAAATAATAATAATTGGTATGAGCTCTATAATACACGGATTGTACAGATGTATGTGATAGATCACACAGTATGGGGCCCCATTTACATATCCTACTGCAAGT